GTATATAGACACAGCACAGGTTCATGTTAAAGATTATAAGAAGAGATACATTCCCTTCCTCTGTGTGACACAACATAACACAATCACTACTTCCTGCACCAGTGACACGGCTCTCGGACCTTTTATCCCGGAGGAGAGAATTACAAAGTCAACAATATGAAAGTAAAGTACACAAAGCTCCGGGGTGAGTGACCCTCCTCTGCGGGAAGAACGGATCTAGTACATCTCTGCAGTCCGGCTACATTCCACATGCTGATCTCTTTAAACACTCGGCAAGTACAAGAAATAGCTGATAATGTTCCAGAAATATAGTGACCTCTGACCTCCCACCGTGACAGGACAACACAGCTCTGAATTCCCAATCACATGGTGTCAGCCCTGACTACTGCCTTTCTGTAGTCCATCCCGGGAGCAAGCTTGTTAGATCTCCTGCAGCCACTTCCTGTCTACATGCGCTCCAGCAATGGCTGCAATGCATCCCTCAGTGTAATGTGCGCTGAAACAGCGAGCTGTAGCCTGCATCAGAAATCTGGGTGACAACACAGGAGCACATTAGAAAGCCGGGGCCAGAGCATTGTTACCCTATAACAGGAAGAGCCTGAACAAGAACCTTCATGGCAGGATCACCGGGGATTATTTTTAGTAAAAGTTGAAACTGTAAAAAGTTTTTAAATGACATCAACGCGTTATAAGATTAGAAGAGATTTTAGGGATCGGGACTACAAGCTCCCCACACTCCCCGCAGTCTGATTGCACAATCTGCTTCATATCCAACAACAGCGGCGCAGTGCAAGAGCCACAATGGATACAAATGGATGGGAGAGATTAGGGAGGTCCTCTTTAGTACAGAGTTCTGGTAGATCTAAAGTGGATTATACAGAGACTGTATGGTAACATTGCAACATGTATCGTCCTGCGTGGTCCTGCATGGTGCTGCACGGTCATGTGCGGTCCTGCATGGTGCTGCACGGTCATGTGCGGTCCTGCATGGTGCTGCACGGCCATGTGTGGTCCTGCATGGTGCTGCACGGCCATGTGTGGTCCTGCATGGTGCTGCACGGTCATGTGTGGTCCTGCATGGTGCTGCACGGTCATGTGTGGTCCTGCATGGTGCTGCACGGCCATGTATGGTGCTGCACGGCCATGTGTGGTCCTGCATGGTGCTGCACGGCCATGTGTGGTCCTGCATGGTGCTGCACGGTCATGTATGGTGCTGCACGGCCATGTGTGGTCCTGCATGGTGCTGCACGGTCCTGTGCGGTCCTGCATGGTGCTGCACGGTCATGTGCGGTCCTGCATGGTGCTGCACGGCCATGTGTGGTCCTGCATGGTGCTGCACGGCCATGTGTGGTCCTGCATGGTGCCGCCGGAGCACAGAACGAGCGCCGGAGCTGCTGAAGCCGAATTTTCTGTCGGCGGCTACAAATTGCCAACACCAAGAAAGAGCACAAAAGACACGAATATCGCTTGCGTCCGCAACACGGCGTCACATGTTCTCTTCCGTGTACAGAACTCCCCCAGAAAATGTTCCACCTGCTCACCGCTTTCCCAAGAAGTCTACACAGAGCCTGAAATCGAGTCACACACATGCCCTGCAACAAGCCCTCTTTTTCGGCAGAGCAGCAGAAAGTAAACATTTGAAGTTTAGAAATTCCTTTACAGTAAAAATTGTTTCTTTACTTACAGGACGGGCAAGTTTGTTTTTTAAAGGCGCAGCGCCTGCACTCCGGCGCGGGTTAGATGCTAAAACTGCAGCCAGAGTTCTATTATACCAAACAAAACCGCATTTGTACAGTGAAAACCCAAAGCCCCGCCCAGGGGGAGGAGCCTGACACCTCCAGACAATGAGCTCCAACACACCAGGATAAGGATCCTTATCTCCACATAGGT